CCGCTGCACTAAGTCCGACCGACTTGGAGTCTTCGGACGAAGACTCTTTGTCACAATCCAAGTCAACTGTACCCGAAGACACCTGAACCGAAGGCATCGACTGTTGCTTCATCATCATTCTCCCCACATCTTCCACCGCAGAGTCTACAAGTTCTTCCAGCGAAGTGGGGTGCTGCGATGTGTCTGATAACTTCACAGGTAACTCCGAACACACCTTCCCCAAAGGCGTGTGCACGGTTGATTGCCCCAAAGGTCAACGTCCCTGACTCGAGGTCTCCACCTGTATATCACCTCCTTGCTCTTATGCCTCCCTTTGCGGATCTTCTGCTAGTACTGCCGAAGGTTTCCACTCCGAAAGTCCCTCTTCCTCCGTTCCTACAATTTCCGCTTCTATCTCCGCCCACTTTGTCGAAGTTATCCGGCCTTTAGATGCTGATTCATTACATTTCGTGCTTCTTTCTTCTTCACTCGACAGCCGTCTCCTCTTCATCTTGCTACGAGCACGCACATTTGCCGATCTTATCTTCGTAGGAACTGAACTTTGGACTCGAATTCCTGCACGTTGATTAGTCGTCTCCAAAATTGTGACTCATTGCAATTTTCTTTTCTTCTTTGGCTGTTCCTTGACCTCGTTCTCCGACTTGTCGGTTTCGGCCGAATGCAATGCAAGCAATGTGTCATTCTCCTCGCTAGCAACCTCATTGCCTCCCAGCGTCTCTTCGTCGTCTGCTGCCTCCGTCTCGAGCGCAAATCGCTTCTGCTCAGCTGCAGTCAGCATACCCATTCCTCTGTAAAAGTTGATGAAGAACGGGGACAGATAGTTCACTAATCCCCCAAATGCCTCGCCAATGTGCTGGTGTGTAGTAAATCACAAGATGCGTGCCTAGTGTATAGGCTTCCCTGCCATCGCGGGCTCCACAAATCCGACCTTTCATGTCGCCATATAAGTCTTCCGCTAAGGCCGAAGAATCTGCATTAGGGCCACTGCTACATTCTTGCGCAATTGATCACGATACTCTGTCGTTCAGTACCCGTTCTACACAGAATGAGGTTTCTTGAATAGCGGCGCATACGTCTTCTTTTCCGCGCATGTCACCTTTACACTATCGCTGTCGAAGGTGTAATCTCCATCTTCTCCTGTGCATGGTTCTAGGACATTTGCCCAATCTTCAATTGTCTAGATTGCTGGGTTGCCACAAAGTCCCTCAGCTTCCGGCGCGCATTCGTCGTGCCACTCTTGTACCATCGTTTCACAAATCGAATTCCATCATCACAGTAAGACATCGAGCTTGGCAATTATTAGCTCGTTGCGATACACCCTCAATCCAAATTCTGGCACCTTCAACGCCGATAATTGAAGTCCCCAAGTTCGGCCTATCGCTGCTTCCTCAATTTCTCACTCACGGACCTTTGTTGAACTCTCAATTCGCAAATGCACTCTCGCAGAATGTCGGCGTTGAGCTCGCATTTCTCCTGATGTAATTCGCCGCCTTAACGGCATCTCAAACTCGTGCGAATTGAAGGCACAAGTGTTTGAATTTCTTTCCCTTTCGACGCCGTCTTTTACTTCGCCAAAGATTCTTTGTCTATAACACTAAAGGCTCTAACGCCGAAGTCCGAAGACTATTCTCCAAAGACAATACTATGCATTCGTCAAAGCAGGTTTCCCGCTGCATACCTTTGCAGCTCAAGATTCCCTTGTCCATTTCCAACGTTCTTGGGCTCATTGGAACCAGCACGCCGCGCTCTAATTACTAGGATCCTGTCTATCCATTACTCCTACTTGGCGTGTACCCCAAAATTTCCTATTCACTCTTCTTCTTACTACTCCTATTCTAAAAGTTTAAAATTACTAGTCCTTTACTTCTCAAACTTCATAGTTTCAGAAAAAATGAAAAACTATGCTACCACACTGCCTTTAGATGCAATCAAGGTATTGGACTTCATTATCTTCTGTCCACCATATCTATTTGATACAGTGCAGATTGTATCGGTGTTCTCAATATAGGTCTCGTATGCTCCAACCTGCTTTACAACAGTCATTAGCCACTACTTATTGATCAACTTACAATAATAAATTATCAAGTTCTTGGTAGAATACAGATGTAAAAATCAAGATCAGCCTTGTACAATGACGGCATCATAAATTGCAATTGAGAGATGTGAAAGTCAGATTCGGCTTGAATAACAACAAACATTAAGGATATATTCTTCTCACAAGTCCTTTAGCGGCAGAGTTATGGTTCTGAGACGAAAACGCTTCGACTAGAGGAACACGGAGAACTCTCTCGGTACTTTAGAAGATCAGTGTGGACTAAGGATGGTGCACATCTCATGAACATATGCTTCTGATCATGATATTGCATACCCTCCAACTGCAAGTCTGCATTTAGATTTAATCAATTCCTCGACTCCTGAGTTCAAGAGTTTTTGGAGTGTTACCATGCAATCACATGAATATTGTGGCTCGTGCCTTAAGATGTGGGGAAAAAAGGGTTTGTATATTCGGCATTAACTTGACTGTGTTCAGACATGTCAGGTTCGTAGTATTCATAGCTTAAAGGTCATCTCACACACACGGACCTGATATGCGGGAGGCGCAACGAGTTTTTAGGTAATTGACTAGCTGGAGATTGAACTAACGCGCCTACTCTTAAGATTGGCCTTCATTCTCAAGAAGAAGTTCAAGTCCGGTCGAAACTCGTTGCATTCAGTTTAATTCGAAAAGTGTTACAGAAATGTTTCCAATTGTGCACGGCGCCTTGAAGATCGGATCTTTGATCACATTGATGCCAGTGGCGCTGGCTTCCGATCCATTCATGATATACGACGATTATGTTCCACCTCATTCCACCTCCGTCCAAAGCAGTTGGTTCACGTTAACTCCACCGATTGAAATCACCGAAAAATCAGTGTTCCTCCACAATATTGGTGCAATTCAGGGTATGGAAAATTTTATGGCAGCTCTCCATCTCTCACATATGGCTGTGAGTCCACCCTCTGTCATCTTCATCCAAAGAGATTTTGAACGTTGTAAGAAGGTTCACTAGCTTTCGGCCTATTCGACGCCACCAACAAGCTGTTCACTATACCGCTGTAAAAGGACATGTATTTGTAAACCCCAAGGGTCAGGTCCAGAACCAGTGCAATCCCTACCAAGCAATCATGCCAAGCCTGTGGTCTCTTCAACTCTGGACTTTTCATGCAGAAAATGCAGATCGCCCGGGGCATTTAGACTGTACTCAAATCAAGTCACAATTCTGAACTCTATAGGTTTCTTTCGTGTTTCGGTCATGTTGATTTGTCCGAAAAATATTTTGATATTTTCCAAGATTTCACATCTTCTCTTTAATCACTAAATATCGTATAAAAAAGAAGTAACATTTATTAATGTGAGAGTTTACTTGTCCCTATGGTTTGTGTTAATTATCTATCACATTATTATACTATAAAAAGTTAAGTGATTGGTTAGAGCCATATGATATAGTAGGGAGAAGTAGTGCATATTAAATTAAGTCAAATAAATAATCCAAATTTGAATATAACTAGTCACTCCCTTATTAATAAATTTCTTCATTATTATATTTTTGGGAAAAAATAATTTTATACTTATCCACAAAAACTTAAGTTATATATAATCATGTATTAAGTTTTGAGATCAACTATCCACACTTCATTGGGTTCTCTCTCTATTTAGTTGCATGAGATTTTGTCTTGCTCCAAAATGTCATTTGGTTTTTGAGTTTCATGTTGAAAAAACTGCTCCAGATACGCGATTGAAAATCTGTGACTCATGACTCTTTTTGCAACTATATTAGGATCCAGTCTTCCATCTCTAACACTAACGTTCCACATATGCTTCTCGAGAGTGCTTGCGGTCAGGCAGGACTTTGTGCGACGCGAGGGTGCTTCATGGATACTTCGGCTGTTTCCTCATGATAATTTTGCTCGGATACTCAGGCGACCCGTGCGATTGTTGTCTTTTCTCCCTGAATCTGCTTCGGTTTATTGGACTCTGAACTGCATTCCTTAATTCCATGAATTGCCTCCCGATCGAATAAAGAGAGATCATAGTTGCATTAGGTAGAGCTCATATGTGCCTTTCCAGCATTCGATGATCGATGAGGATTTTCATGTCCGGTTGATATTTATGAACTGACTGCGTGGTTTACTGTCTACGACCTCAGATTTTACATTTTCAGCCCTCAAGTTAGCTAGGAACCAGGTATCACAAGGCACCTGCCTTGTAATACAGAGAGTCGCAGAACTACGGCAAAGATCGTCCCATGCCTGCCAGCCAGGTGGGGCATTGCCCGATTAACCAAGGGTCATCTGAGCGACGGGTAAATGACAACATTCTGTGATTATGACGGTACTAGTAGTACCGTAGCCTTGTGTTGTGGACGACTTCATTAATCTCTCCGATGGGTATAAATTCTAGCATGGATTCAGTCTCAGAGCAATTTCCAGGTTCTTGCTTTGTAAATGGTGAATTCCATATTCCAAGAGGCTTGCTGTTGTCCGAGACCGCACCTTAATTTCTATCGATTCAATCATATTGACTCGATATTATATAATCAACATGATTGCGGATTGAACCTTTATCCGCAAGACGGAATCCGTTGAAGAACAAGGCCGACTCCAGTCCGTCGTCAGACGATGACAATCACAATGACATGGTGCAGGTAGAAAAGGACCTTTATTGACGTTGGAATTTGCCCTGAGATATATCGGGTTGAAAGCGAATGATCGATAAAACGGAAGAATAATTGTCCTAGGGTATGCAATAATAAGGAATGTCACTAAACTCCAACAAAGTTCATAGAGACGAATGCCCACCATGGGGACCGACGTTCTTTGACTCTATGCTGCGAAACACCATGTATGTCATCACTGTGTCTTCTTCGTTAAGCACGACTGCCTTGCCATGTTCGGGACAGACCTACAGCACTCACAATCACTCGTTGTTTCCATCTGTAAGGTTCAATCTAAATGGAACTTTATGCTTGAGCATCCTTCAAGGTCTTGATGGTGCTGGCGGAAACACCGAAAGATTTCTCGAGGATGTCATCACTGATCGGCTCGCTAGAGCCGAACAGAGCAGTTGGCAGACTTGAGATTCCTGCGTTCGAACTACTGAATGTGTTGAAAGCTGTGGCGGTGACGGCGCCCCTGTTTATCTGAAAATGAACAAGGCCTCTGGGAATTACAAAGAGATCGCCCTGCTTCAGACTCTGCGTTCTCAACGTGTTGGTGGTGTCCACGAATCCGATGTCCAGATTTCCATCTACCACGAAGACGACTTCAGATGCTCGGGGATGAACGTGGGGAGGATTAACAGTTCCAGGAAGAAACACGAAAATGGTAGCTGAAATGCCAAGTCCATCTAGAGCTGGAAAGTTGGTCAGATCCGCCCTCCTTGGTGTGCCGAACGGAGCCAAAGAAGGATCTGCAGTGGCATTTCGAAACATTGTCGAAGTGAAGAAACTCGCATTCACACTTGCTGCATCGCTACCTGCAGGTACTGCAAAATCTGAGGTAAGCTCAGGATCGGAGGCACGAACCTCTGCACCACCCGAAACCAAATAGATCAGAAACACCACCGCGATTGACGCGGCAAAGCGTCCCATTTTGCAACTGTGGGTGAGGGTAGTGAAGAAATCTGAAGCTGTGAGAATCGGCCTATCAAGTGACTAAACCCAGTAACAAATTTAGAACAGTTGTTTCATATATCAAGATAAGAAATCTCTATTGACACTGCTTGTATCCTTCGGTAGTTCCTCGTACACGAGGTCGAAGGGGGTGTTCTAGGAGTAGATTACGGGGTGAATGTTGCCAATCTTCTGATCTGTGTGGTATTTGAAGAAGGGTTATTAAGTTTCTCATCCCGGAGTTGGAAGATGAAAGACGTGGTCAAGTTCAACACGTACTTCGGTATGCCCCTCTGTAAACTTGTTTACTATGCTTGGTCCTGCAGGTGCACCTGTCGACTTCGTTTCGACTGCATAGCGTGTGGGCATCTGCCTCGTAAACTAGGTCACAATATTTAGTCAAGAAGGTGAGGGCTTTTGGTGGAATGTACTCCCTTATTACTTTGAAAGCACGTGTGGGAACTCGTCAAGTGAAGGTGACGCGTCCATGAAGATATTCAGAGTATTTTTAGAAGTTTTGGGCAAGCAATATAGTGTAATGCATTGAAATGCGTCTCAAGCCAAGAAGATCAAAAGTAGTTAGAACCCATGCCAAATGATGTCTTTTGACATGCAGAAGAAAATGTTCGCAGCTTACTGAATGAGGCTGAAGACACAGTCATGTTTGATAGACAGGAGTGCAAGTCTCAATTGCATTTGTATACGTGGTCAATCTTCGGAGAGCTGACGTCCCCATCGAGCAACATCCTGAAGAAGTTATATGGTCACATATTTCAGCAACGCTCTGGATCAATTGATCCAATATACGTGGGCTGGAAGTCGAACCGCGTTCAGCTGCAATGGTTGCGACTTCTCTAGTTGGTAACAAACTGATTTGACAAATACTCGTGGGTTGCAGTCTTCCGACTGCACCCACGAGCTAGACGTTAGGAAGGTTAGAAGGGTAAGAGAAGAATTGGTTCGGAAGCTTGAATGTTCCTAAGCCGACCGAATAACGACACAGTCCTGAATACAGCGGCAAACACGAACTGGCAGCAAGCGAATGTCGTTGATAGTTTGTTTCTATAGATGTAGTCGGTGCACAGTTTCATGGTCGATTTGACCAAGACCCGGGGTATTACTTACGTTATGATGACATGAGATGCCTACGTATCATAGGACGACTTGGCAGTCAATGGTCGTGATATCCATTTGTTGGGCCTATCTATGTGCATCATAACTGACGTTCAAAACTAGAAAGTCTCATGATCAGAGAATAAACTTTTCCTTCTCATAAGAATCACAGCTCACCTCTCAAGGATCCAAAATTATGCTTGTATTTTTAAAGGCTTTTAGCACCCATTCATAGCCGCAATTTCCGCATCCATCATACAGTTTTTTGAACTAAAGAACAGTATAATATGAAAAAAAACTTATTACCTGATTCAAGAGATATGATGTATGCGTCAGATATTATAGCAAAAGATGGTCCCTCCATGAAGTTAAAAAACTGAAACTAAGAAACTTGGAAGTACACATTACATATGAGGATGAGCATATTACGTAACGTGTTACATTTAAAAAAATTTGATTTGACTCTATCAGCTACTATAAAGCAACAGGTTTTCAGTTCATCTAGCTTCATCTGAATTCGTCACAACGAAGAAAGAAGGGAGTCTCCCTGGTCATTATAATCTTATTTAGCTCTAATTAAGATACTTTGTATCACACTGGAAGATAGACATATTGATATCATATGCAACCTAGCTACGTGAGGATTTCACCCCATATGGCTTTTGATACATTTACTATATCTTTCTTTTTCCACATCATATTATGTGAAATATGCAGAAAAAACTATTTATAGTGTTACCTCTTAAAACATTACACTGAAATAAAAGTGTTCTAAATGAAGCATATCCAAAATTTTTATATATGACATCAATATAATCACCTGAGATTATCATTGACAGAACGATCAGTGCTTGTTTGAATATAAATATAAATAAATGAATAGAAAGCAATTTTAATTAAAAATCAATATACATGTAAGGTAATGTAGTTTGATGGGGTTTGCTTGACTCTCTCATTATTCGGTCAAAGTCCGAAAATATATTATCATGCAACTAAAAAAATGGAAATACAAGTCTTTCAAAGTTTTTAGTGTTACCGTTTCAATGATCCTCCATCGAAGAGCAGTATAGTCAATAAATCCAAATATGTAGTATAGGTAATCACAATGTATTCAGTACTAATCTCTTTTTGTCAAATTAAATATGAATTTTCCATAAATCATGTTAATTGAAAAGTATACCATAATCAAATCCATAATCTTGTAATGAAAAAATTAAATATCAATTGAACTTTCGGAAAATCATTATATATCCTGAAAACAGAAAATCAATCATGCTAATGACAGTAAAATCTCAGTCCTAATCAATTAACAAAAATGTAATTGTATGAACCAATCAGATTTAATGATCTTATTTTTAGAAATATAAATGAGTCAAATGAAAAAATCCTCATGATTGATTGAGCCCATGGTCATGAACATGAAATTTTTTTTTAAATTAAAACTGATAGTACTAAAGATACTAAAAAATGCATGAAATGAGAAAATCTAATAGTTAGACTGTATATATAATAAAGTTGGGTGTTGTCTAAATTTATATCATTCTCATGTTGTCAAATAGGTATACATCTAATGAAATGAAAAGAGCTATGGTTGTTGTGAATCTGATATCAAACATCTCATTTGATTCCATTGATAAGCCCATATGTAACCTAAAGGAAGATTTATGAGAAAAATGTTTGAACATGACCAACATTAGTAGAGTAGAGTAATCAATCCGAATCTTTCAATAAAGTCCTATCATGCACATGTACCAAACCGGGGAAAACATGAGAGAAATCACTTGGACCGGACTGGCATTTCAAAACTGCTTAAGCAATACATGAAAGATCAAAGATGAAAGGAATGTTCCAAGAACAAAATACTAAGAACAAGGGCTCGCAGTATACATAAGGTGACCGATCACAGTAATGCATCGATTATCGATGGGTTTGTACTCGTCGCGGGTTGCCGGATGGGAACTAAATTCAACTCTCCCAGTGTTGACAAGTTTGTCTCATTACAAAATACTATATTGTAGAACAAGATGGGAAACACTGTTGGGTGCTACAAGTTGTAGAGCGAAAGCCATTGTAGACATGGGATTACCGGATGTGAGAAATTTTTTAATTCTTAAATTGCCTATTTGGACGAAAGACTTGTAGTTTATTAAGTTCCTCAATTGATGGTTGTTGGCAAAGGGATATTCAAGCCACGGTAGTACCTAACACATGTTATGGACTCAAACCTTACGATGTATTATTCATCGTTAGGATTGAGCCTGGAGAAAATAGCGAGCTGTGATTTTGTGAATTATCAAAGTATGTTCATGGGAGAACATGTGTGAGCTCAATTATGTGCTCACCTTTTGAGTTAGAACTAGAATAGAAAAAAAGAAGATCTAAGAACAATCAAAGAGAAAAAATAAAAAACAAATAGATAGTGTTAGTCAGATGTTAGTCACTTTATACGTTAAGACAGCTACGTAAAGGAAACAGTTACGTACAAGTACCGTTTTTGAGTTGGTGGAGAATTCAAAAACCCACAACGAGGAGTATCATCTTGACGAAGGGCGACTTGGTGGTAGAACAATGAGAGGAACTACGAGATTCATTAGCATTGCTCGTTCTTGGAGTGCAATTGAATTGTGAGGTGGAGTATTTGACGAGGAACTATGAAAAATAAAGCCGCAAACAGCAAGTTTTGTTTAGAAAAATTGTGATCAGAGCTGTGCAAATTATCAAATGTAGCATTCTCCCGAAGCAAAGCACATAAGAGTTGAGAGTGTGGCAAGGCCAGAAGTGTTGTACTTTTGTGATAGCCTAGCTTTTCTTTTCTTTTCATTCTCAAAATGAGAAGTTTAAGATATCTGATTGAATAAACATTTTCAATTAGTAACGCCTTGATTTAGTTAGAGTCTTGATAGATAGAACTCGACACGATCGTTCTAACGAGCCCAAGAATTCTTGAAACGGATAAGGGTTCACTGAGTTATGAGTGTCGAAAGTGGTTGATATGGATATGCGAAGGCGCGGAAGTGCCTTCGGCGGAAAGGTACCTTGGACTTCGGCGAAAGAATTTTGGCCTTGGAGCAGAGATCTTGCGGGGCCCATATCTTCGCGATAGAAGGTCGGATGGAGATGAAATTTGTTGGAGATGTTGGTCTGAGCCGGCCGCGCATGCTTGCGAATTTTCAGCCTTAGAGCTTGGATCTAAAGCTCTTAAAGAAGCTGACGGCTCAGTGCAGTAAATTTAGGGTAGACTAAGACTTAGGATTAGGTTTTGAATTAAGGTTAGGGTTGGCTCGGCAGGCTGGTGGTTGTGGGTTTTAGTGGAGTGCGTAGGTGGTGTGCCCGAGAGTTTTTTTTTCTGCGTGTTGATTATTCTCGTGGAGTGAGGAGAGAAAAGAACTAAGATATGATAGCTAGAGTTTATTGGCAATAGTAAAGGTAGCACGAGTGACTTTTGTGTAAATGCAGTTTCATGAGTGTTAGTGTTTTATACTTGTTCGCTTAGACCCCCATCCAAACTCAAAGGGTTGGGGAGTTTAAAGCTTACAACATGGATTGCCGAATAGACATTCTCTGGTGATGCTTTCGTGAAATCTTCGGTGGAGAATATGTCTTGTCGACAAGCTGCATCTTATCAGGGCTCCTTCTTCATTCATTTGTATTTGATTCTTTGGGCACTCCTGAACTTCTACTATTTCATTCCGGACTTGAGTAATAGGCAGAACAGTCAAATCTTGACGACTGCACAAATGTGCCCTGAGCAAACTATATTACAGATTCAATTTTTTCACTAGTTAGCCCTCGGAGCAGCAAAAAATGGGAGAATCTACTGACTCATTCACGGATTGCTGATTCTGGGGCAGATTGACTGTCCCGAGATGAGAATAAGATTGTAATAGCAATCTATGGCTATGGAAGCAGAAATAGTTGAAACACAGCAATAAACTTTGTTCATCGATTTGAAGGCTAACATCCGCCAAACCATAACGGTACTCGAGAGATATAAGACTTCGATGAGCTCATGTTAAATGAATTAAGATAAAGAACATCAACCTACTATCTTGCGTCGCAAGGTCCGTAAATGATTTCAGAAATCAAATTATGTCATCACTGAACAATTTGGCCCACTATGATTACTATGATCATTTCTGCCAACTTTGGGCTCCGCTTTCAGAAATTTACTACTTACAAGAATCGTCTTATTGGTGAAGCTAGAGCACCATACTTATCCAGACTTCTGGAGCTCCATCAAGTTCTCAGTGCCATAGCCATGCACACCATGTCCGAGATTGCAAGCTGACGTATCCGTAGATCGTCGTTTGAATCGATGGACCCCTTTCTGCGGTAAAACCCCGCAGAGTAAATCAAACCTGAGCAGCCTTGAGCTTGTTAATGACGTCGGCCGTCACGCTGAAGGATTTCTGGAGGACCTCGCTGGAGATCATGCTCTTTCCAAAGAGAGTAGAGGGCAGGCTGATGAGTCCCGGGTTGGAACTACTGAATCCCACCACAGCTTTGACAGACGTCCACTGATCCAAATTGATCTGGAAGTGCACCAAGCCCTTCGGGAACACGAACAGGTCACCAGGCAACAGAGTTTGGGTGAAGAGCTTCTGAGTGGTGTCCACGAGCCCCACGCTCAGAGTTCCCTCGATGACGTATAGAAGTTCGGTTCCTCGAGGATGAGTGTGAGGAGGATTGACGGTGCCGGGCGGAAATTGGATAAGCGCTGAAGAAATTCCCAATCCTGTGAGAGCTGGAAATGCGTTTTGATTGACGGGTGTGACCGTAGCAAAAGCTGAATTTAAATTCGGTTGAACATTCTCCAAGGTCGTGTTGGTGAAGAAGGCTCCATCAAGATCGGCAGCTACCTTGCCTTCCGGAACGAAGAAATCCGAAGTGAGCTCGGGATCGGAAGCTTGAACTGTTGAGCTCAGGGATCCAAAGGCCAGAAAAACAGCGAACAAAGCGCAGAGGAGCATCTTGTGAAGAGCCATCGCGAGCACACTCCGATCTCAATACCGAAGCTGGGCAGAACTTGAATGAGATATATGAAGCTGAATTGCAATTGATGTAAAAGGTGTTTAAGGATTTCAGTCAGTATCGATCCTAAGAATGAACCGGTTGAAGCAGACTGATTTGTATGCTCGAGGCTCGGTGAGTTGTATGGGTACCCACTAGACGTTTTATAGAAATCCACTAGTTCCTAGTTCCTCAACCGTTGATAGATACGCATATTCTGCAGAGAAACTTGCGATCTGCTTCAAATCTGGGCACATCTGAGCCTCTCAACTTCTTCAAATCCTAGAAATGGTCCACTTGATAGCACCGAAACCGGGAACAGCGTGGACAATCCATTGACGATTGAAGCTTTCAACGCTTTGCTCTGACGCACCGTCAATACCTACACTAGCATCAGACTTTGCTTGCATATGTGTATATGGGATTGGTGTAGTAGTCATTCAGCAGTGACTTCATGTGCATGAACCCAATCCACAGGACCTTGGCATAAGAACCCCGATGGTCAACGAACTCATGCGGCTGGCTGACTCTTTCGACCATGTCTGAACGTCTAAGTTTATCTGAGCGCAAGGTGCACTCTGTGAACTACTTCCAAGTCGTCAGATAGCAACCGGCCTCTGACGTATTTTCGTAATGCTAAGATCTGGGCTAAGTAAAAAATTGCGAGCACATATTATACTGATTGTTATATCACGCGTAAACCTGAGGGAGAAGACTGGTTTCTTCGGACTCTACTTTTGGATGCTAAATAGTGGATTTATCTGTGGTGGCCCCATTTGTGTATGTGTATCTCAGATCAGCCTCCGAAGAAATAAAATTATTACGTACTCAAACGACAAATTCTTAAGCTCAGCTAGAATCAGTCATCATTCCCTGTACCGTGCTTCTTCAGCTAATTCTAGTTGAAAGCTCACAACTTGGCAATTGACTTTTTGTCTGAATATACTAATTCGGTGTAACAAATGACCCAGTAAACAGTTTGGAATGGGCAGAAGTTCTCCTCTCTCTCAGACTTAGATCGTTGCCATAGTCTTTGATAGATTGACAAGGACTTTATGAAAGGTGTCAGGTGTACGTAAGCCATCTTACTCATGCGATCAACGTGAGTCAAGAATTTGACTACCAACTATAAGAAGGCTGGAGATGGAGGCATATCTTCATCAAACATACCATCAATTTCAATTCGAGCTACTCCCAGTTCATTACTACAGCTCAGTGTAATCTTATTTTCAGGTGAGCTCACAGGTCTACAAACTATCTGAACTCCATATACTTCTGGCTGTCAAAAGGTTCAAATTTAGAGCACTTCAGTGATGGCTAAAGTCCAGGTACTGGCATCATTACTGCTTGCAATATTCTGCCTTCAGAGCCTGCAAGTGTTTGGATCGGATCCCGAGCTCACTTCGGACTTCAAAGTCCCAGATGGAGAGAATGCCACAGCTCTGGATGGAAATTTCTTCACCTTCCCCGGTTTCAGGAACTTCACCGCCAATCCGTCTGATGCTCCCCTCGTAACGACTATGAGAGCAGACCTCTCTAATTTTGCAGCACTCGATGGCCTCGGTATCTCTTCCACTCTCGTGGTTGCTCCACCAGGGACCGTAAATCCTCCTCACGTCCATCCTCGTGCTTCGGAGCTCGTGTTCGTGCTCGAAGGCACCGTCGACATCGGCTTCGTAGACACCACTAACACGCTGAGGACCCAGACCTTGAAGGAGGGAGATCTTTTCATTGTCCCCAGGGGCTTGGTTCACTTCCAGTTCAACAACTATCAGACGACGGCTAAATTTCTCAACTCCTTCAGCAGCGCCTCTCCGGGAGTTGCCAGGCTCCCGACCACTCTGTTCGGGACCGGCATAGCTGATGCAGTTTTGATTAAATCCTTCGGAGTGACAGCTGACGTCATCGACAAGCTACAGGAAGCTGAAGGGGCTGGAACGCAACCAGGCTACTAGAATCAGAAATTCGTCTACTTGCGATTGCTCGTAAGATTGATGAGGTTGATTAAGCTAATTAGCTTTTCCTATTGTGTCTGTAGGTGAAGTTGTTACATGCCAGGAGCATTGGTACCACTGATCTTAGTGTACCTGCATCTCATTTGATAAAAATAATAAAAAGATTGTGGGCACATTCGTGCACGAATCTCAAAATCCGAATTGATGTGAAATTTTCTGTGGTTTACGCCTGCTTTTGCATGAAGAAGTATGTTTACGGTGCCTTTACCGGGGATTGGATGCTTTGTCGAGTAGATTAGAGCATGCGTGCAGAAGCAATCCGACCTTTTTCTCGTCAACTTCATTTGACATTCAGCACTTTGGAAGCTTAAAACATTATTTCTCTTCGTTGGGTACGCGTGCTGAGTCCATAGACTTCACAATTTGCAAACGGTATCATGAGCTTGAGCTTGATTAGCCCACAGATTTCCATCACAGTCTGCATTCATTTAATCAACAAGAATACCACTGCGGTCATGACGAGCACGTCAGCCAGCACCTGAGAGTATTCTCCAATCACAGAGCGCAAACCTTCTCAAAGTTCGGATCACTCGCCGCACTTGAATCAGGCCATTCAGAAACCGGAGAAATTGTGCCAAGGATGAGACATATTATGACTCGGATAATTTATTGCCAATCGTGCAACCGACAGTCGCAATCTTCAGTAGCTGCATATAAATCAGATGTAGGCAGCGCCCTCGTCCATGTATGCCACTTTACTCACCGTCCGGTCGATCCTAAGCGGACGGCGAGTAAAGTTTCATGGATACAGACCGATCGATTGATTCTTGTAACTTGGTCCAAGGAACCAAGTTACAAGAAAACGAAGTGGAGGGGAGTGTGAGTTTTCATTTTTCCCAGGATATGCTATAAAGGCAGACATCGCGTCGTTTCGCCTCTGAAGTGTCGGCGCACAATCTTATAATGTTCAAACCGTTTCAATGTATGTCCTTTGATTCTACGCCAGCGCTTTCTCGAAGTATCTAAGCCATTTGGTTCGTGAACATGCTAAATTTCCGAAAGCACATCTGTAATGGTATCATATATTTCAGTTTCCTAATCTTCCCTGAATATCCCCTCGATTTCTTCCTCATTGTTACTAGCACTGGTTGGAATTGGCAATAGATTAGGGCTCTGAGCAAGGCTTTTGATTGAACCGTGCAAGTCAGCATGTTCCCGTGACTTTTAGAAGATTGTAGAGCTTCTTCGGTCATTGTGGGTCCAAATCAGGTTCGCCACATCAGCAATTTGTAATCTAAATCCGATTGACTGTCACAGTGGGCTCTTGAGATGTTCATGATCTGTTTTGTGAAAGAATCGTGTCGTACGAGATGATTAGAGTGAAGAGTGTTGACAGGTACAGCTGGAGACTCATAACGTTTTAAAGATGGCGTGAATGCACAAACGATATATGATATCAATGATAAAGATGAATGCTTCAACAGAGGTGCTTAACCACGGTGATTTGAGATACAATGGTTGATCCTAACGCTTTGACGTCCTCATTCGTGATTGCAGATCGATCCAATCACATAATTGCAGAGTTTAATCTCCAGCTTGCGACTGGACTAATCAACTGGAGGAGCCTGGGAGGATGGACTGAAGTTTAATCTCGTGAAGCAGCCAGTCGGAACTTCGTGTTTGGTTGCGGGTGTGAAGCACACTCGACGAAAATGGCTGCACCACCTAAACGGGACACGCGGTGGGTGAGGAATGGGCCGATTAACCTAGGCTCATTCTCCACCATTTTTCTGTGCACGAATCTGGAGAATAATAAGAAGTTTGTGGCGAAGACGGTTATGGCACATGACCTGGAGCAGAGGACGTCCATCGAGGTGGAGAGGAGGCTGTACAAGGGACCACAACCCATCGACTATCATTACTTTCCCAAATACCTTGGGTTCAACCTCGAGAAGCAGTGCAGGGAGATGGGCAACGTGGACGTGTGCAACCTGTTCCTGGAGTGGGTGCCACGAGGAAGCATACTGCAAATGATGGAGAGGCAGAAGGGGAATTTGAAAGAGGGCATCTGCGCGGTCTTCTGTCGTGATATATTGAAGGCTCTGGTGTACTTGCACGGTCAGGGCAAGGTCCACGGGGATATCAAGGCTTCCAATATTCTCCTGGGCATGGAGAACCTGAAGCTCTGCGATCTGGGATCGGGCAAAGTCGTCGCCGATGGTGACGTCCTGCTGCCTCCCAAAAGGGGCTGGGATCCACTCAGAAAGCGAATCTACACAACCGGCACCGACGGCTGGAGGGCTCCCGAAGTGGCGGACGAGATCGAGCAACTCCCTCCGTCTGACATTTATTCAGTGGGCTGTACTCTGGTGGAAATGGCAACCGGCGCCCCGCCTCAGAAAGTTCCCAGAATTTACTTCGCTGAAAATCCCGCGGACGTCGATCCTGAAACAGGGTACCGCAGAGCCTCCTTGGACCTTCCATGCGAATTTTCCGATCCATGTCGACAGTTCATGGAGGCCTGTCTCGCCCAGCATCCCAAAGATCGTCCCACTGCTGCTGAGTTGCTTGAGCATCCATGGTTCAAGAGCATTCCGCTGGTGTACCCTGTGCCCGGTACACAACCGCAGAAGTAGAGAAAGTGTGGTCGTCGTCATCATCATGTACATTCCGTCGCCGCCTTCAATGTCGTGCATTGGTTCCGGAAATCTGAACCTATCTGATACAGCTCGCTAGCTCCTTTTATTCGTCAATGAAGCTGCATCTCCTTACCAGATAATGAATCTAGGATGGATTTCTTTTACTCTTTCTCGCGTCCTTGTTCGATTCATATTGTGAGATACTACAACGTCTGGGAGGGGAGGCTGCTGAGTGCATTGCAATACAGTATCCATAACACCTTACAGTTCAACGAACGCGTGGAATTCTGAAGAACTTTTGGGGACTTGAACCATTTCCCCTCTCAAGCCAAGCAGGCCTCAACAATATGGAGAACGCAAAGACTGGCGTTCAGATCTGTTACAGTACTTCATAATCATATATCGAGATGAAGTTTTTATTTCGAAATCATTCCTTCGAATGTTTATACTGAATCTGCTTTCCCTGTTTGCTTTATTCGAGGAGTCTGTATTATGAGAATTCACAATTAAAACTCGTCTACCCCAGAGATCTCAGAATTTAAATTTTGAAGTGTCTCAGACATCTTCTTTCTTCTGTGTTCCTTCTTTCCCAGAGATCATACGAGCCTCGAAAAGTCTATCAGGTAATCCCATTGCTTTACTTGTAAAATAAAATTTAATGCAGAGTTTCTTGCTTCATGTGCAGTGATTTTTGAATTCAACCCGTATACAGTGTTAAGAATGTAGGTTCATGCATTTTCACGTCATCCCTATTTTATAGTGACCGATGATTAATGTTGATGTTCCGTTGACTTTCTTTGTCATAGGATCGATCGAAGATTCTTCCTACTGATGGGTGACGAATGACACTCAAAGGAATTATCAACGATGAGATCGTCTTGACGAGCACCGTATCGAAAGCCACTGTTCATCCAGTTTATAAGATCGGTCTCCAGATTGGCCATGGGACACATCAAAGCACAGATATGTACAGATACAACTCGGATCTGCGAAAAAAATTGGCCTCTAGTACCGGTGTATTCACATATATTCTTCAAAGCCTGATCATATTCAGGTAGCAAAGACTACAGGAACGCGCCACAGACCAGGCAAGTTTGTGAAGAATGTTCCCATCAATGTCAGTGTTCATGAATCGGTGTGACCCTTTCTGCCATTAATCAATCACGCTGGAAGAAACTGAAGGAGTCAACAGCAATACCGGAGGCGACCGAAGAAATAGGTAGCCTTAATTACAAGACTTGGACTTGGAGCTGCTGAATGAGTTAGGAGCTGCAGCGATGTGAATGTCTTAGTCCGCGTTGAAGTGAGCAAGTGTCCAAAACCCTTTGCAACTCAGAACGAATGTCCCGATTTCGAAGTCCAGGTCGTTAGTTTGGTGGATTACCCAATAATGTAAGAAGAGTGTGTTTGAAAGTAGTAATCAGCTACATAACTTTGACCTCAAGATATATCCACATTGCATCGATTATTGGAATATCAACTGTTTTGTTTGTGTAAAACACAAATCAAAAGCAGGTATATCTGAGTTTTGCTTTTGGAACACGATGAAGTCTGCTATCATATATAATTTGGTCACAGATCCTGTACGAATTCGATCTACACACAACAGAGACTAGGCACGGTCTTGGGCCTTTGTATGATGAGGATGCAAGAGGAATAGGACAACTGGGTCTGCTGTAGTAGTTTAGAACATAGACATTGGCTTCAAAGTAATAGGTGACATGAGTACCACCTGACGTGTATCTTAATTGGTTTCTTTGTCATTTTGTCTATGTCTGTACATCATACAGCTTGATCATGACCTCTTGATTTGACTGGTTATACTTTATCTCATCCGGATCGCCATATCTTGTTGTCGCTGTCTGCTTGATCTCGTCCAGATGTTGAGCGTGAGTTCTAATGAATCAACTCTTAGATCCTTGATCAGACACGAGCGCTGGACTCATAAAGATCCATCACCATGCGGTGCTCTATGTTCTTCTTCCTCTGTTTCCACTAGAAAGATAGAATAACCGCTGTTTACTTCTCTTTTCATTGAATTCTATGAAGAAAGCATATATATCATTTTCAGTGAATGTCTAGTACATAAATCGCTATTTTCCTCGCTATTTTCCTTGCAACGGGGCCTGACATTACCTGTTTGTTAGAAATACAAAACCGCAGCGATGTGAACAAATAATATATGATAACTCTAACAAAACTGTTCTTACATACGAAGAATAGGTAAGCCGGAGCAATTTTATAACTTGAGTGAATAGGAACCAAAAGATATACAAAATGGTTTTCCAAATTTTTTTGATTTTAACCATGGAAGACGAATCTAAGCATCCTGGATTTAGAACTCAATATTTTCTTTCTAAACCCTAAAATACAGTAGCTTATCAATGTACGAAATGTACAAAATTGGGAGACTAGATAGAGAATTTTTGCGTTTACCTCTAAAATTTCAAACGTTTTCCATATGTATTTACTAGACAGATTTGTGATCGTAGAACACAACTGTACCCATTAGAATTTTCCAAGTGCGTTTACAACTTTCTTTCTCTGGATAGAAGCAAGGGAATCATAAGTATTGATATGAACAATTGTAAGCGAGTTTTAGACCACAAAAAACCATGTTTAAATCCGACCGTGCTCTCAATCTAAGTCCAGAGCCGCGATCGATGTCCTGCAATAGATCAATTAATGGTTCCTAATTCTCGTTCCTTTAGTAGATCCTCGCACCCTCAATCCAATTATCACGAAGGGGGAAAGCAAAGGGATGACGGAAAACATGGATATGTTTGAAAGCAGTGCTTAATGAACAAATATAATAGCGAGCATACCATTCACAGGGTTTGCTTTCAGTAGACTACAGTTATCTTGTCAAGCTTAAACATAGCAGAACTTGATTGACTACCTTTGCCTCAAACGTGTGCATCTTCAGAGTTGTTTCCTATCGATTTGAGAAAATGTTTAAGACAAACGGATCGGTCTCAGGAGTGATATGCAGTATGAGTTCTGGCTTTCAGGCAGGCGCCTCACCCTTAATGATGTTTGAATAACATCATGCAAGGACCTGAAGAAATTGTGCAAGAGTTTAGTTTCCAGGGGAAATGACTCGGTTTGGTGCTCCAAGATCAAACGGAATTCAAAAATGCTTCTCCACTCACCTGAAATCTGCTGCAACAGCTTCAACAAGCTCAATATTTTGAGTCTCTTCAAATTCGAATTTGCAGTCATTGACGTGCTATAGTAACACAAGAGGGCTCCCTTGCTTAGCTTCAAGAGATGACATAGGCGAGATGTACTCAGAGACACAAGACATGTACTCATAATTTTGAAGATAAACTATCGAACAGTGTGCGGCTTTGAGGCAACAGACGTATCACAAGCGTATATCTGCGTGCCTTGTGCAGCATCTTGGGCACCACAGATATTGGTACGAATCGCCGATCAGGCCTCAGTGGCCGGACCTGTACACATCCCATTTCAATTAGGAACGGGGGAAGCCCTTATGGACCAAGGCCGCACTAATGCGCTTCTTGTCAGTCAACAAAGTCTGGTGAACGTGTCTTGCCATTCGACCAGTCTGCTGTTCAGCTCGAAGGACCTGATCAGTTCTTATTCAAAGCAGTAGTAAGTATTTAGGAATTTTTTTTCATACTACAGATGCTATTAGTTTGACAAGCTCTTTTGTTAAAAAGTAGGTAGGATTACTTTCACAGTCATTTTGGTCTGAACGGATGGATGACATGCACCATGTTCAACTTTCTTTATATAAATTTTCACCATGTTCAACTTTCTTCATATAAATTTTACTTCTGATGATTGCACGCGAAGCAGTCAATAATTTTGAACATGGTTATGAAAGTTTGATATATAACTATCATTTATAGATGATGCTTTTAAAATAACAGATGTTGTGGTGAAAGTACAGTGTACTGAAACCTGCCATTGTGATAATCAATACTATATTCCCTAGTCGAAATGGAAGATAAAAGAAGAATGTGATATCAAAACCAAAAACACTCTATCTAGCATCTTCCACAATCTAACTTTACACGAACTGAAAATCAGCTAAAATTCTGTCGTCTCCCACTTCACAGCCACCCCAGCACTATGAGGTGTGATAAGTACCTCGACAAAGGATTACGGGCAAGGTATGGGTTAGACTTCTGAAATTTTACTTCTTTCCAAACCTGATATACAATTTCAACTTTGAGAATCCACGATATAAACTCCACTCCAACATTAGTTGCTGATTGCTCATTAACCAAGTTAACTCTATAAAAGACTTATTACCAGTAGTAAATCAGAAGCTATCGAAAAAATTGAGAATTAATGAAAGTGTAAATGATTACTAAAATCCCGCCTCGGATATTAATGTAATACAAAAAGGATGCTACAGAGAAACTAGCACGAAAACCTGCGGCGAAATATAGTAATTGCTAAATTTCTACTTTCGTGAATTGCAGACATGTGGCCCCGTAGTCTAGTGGTTAGGACATTGGACTCTGAATCCAGTAGCCCGAGTTCAAATCTCGGCGGGGCCTTTTCGCAATCTCCATAGTTTTATTTTAGCGAGATTTTGGCTGGTGTACTTCTCCGCCATGGCGAACCCAGTCTGGTTTTGCACGGCGAAAAATCCAACTTCTTCACAGTATATTTAATTCACCTCCATATATCACTCTCCGTTAAGTATGGTGTATAGATAATGTAAGTGTTTAGCTTTCGTGGGACTTTCGTCGGAACAATGATGCTCTTACGTGGAGAGATGGATTTGAAGCTAATTTCACGTGAAATGGTAGATGCTAGACACGACAGAAGCTTTAGCTCCGGAGTTAGATATGATATGCTGACGCACTTTACATACATACACAAACATACTAAGTACATAAACACTTTATCTTGTTTGCTTGTTGGATGATCAATAAATAGTTTTCACCTCACTAACTGCGTCATTGCCCCAAGCGCAAAAATAGCTCCACAATCTACCCTTTTGAACCAATAGTTTCAAAAAGCTGAACGATAATAGATATGAACACTCCTCGTACTACTGAAGCTCCTTCTTGCTCTCATGATTCTTGTCTCGATTAAATATTAGTGCTTTTTTTTGTTTAAAAGTTTTGTGCAATGATGTTCAATCTTGACTTGATTCATTCATTCAAAAATTGTCTATTCATGGATGAGTATGGCAGTTCTTTAGTGCAGCATAAGTTCAGATTATTTACTGTACATTATGTGTGTAGTATATGTATTGACTTTGTCATTAGGGATGTGGTATTTGTTATAAGACATTAAACCAGAATTCTTACATGAAATGTTGCTATGTCTTGCAGTCGACTATATATGGGTAGATTCACTCTTTGTTTCAAGAGTTTCGATACATGTGACACTCTTGATCCTGGTTTAGAAAGAACACTAGCGATATGTTTAACACATGCAAGTCGGGTGCTGTTCTAGTCCTTACGTATTTGACATGGATGGTTAATAAATAGAGTGGAAATCAAACTGTGCAAGTAAAAGGTTATACATAAAAATATGGAGACATGAACGCCCACCTGGACAAGTTTGTGAAATGCTCGAGAGCATATGCCAAAGACATCACTCTCTTTTGTTAATTGTGAATGTCAATTTGGTCCACTGTTTCATTGTTCTTTAGATATCACTAATCTCTGTTTTATGAAAAAGAGCAATCGCTGAGAGGATGTTTCCCTTGATGCTAGAGTCTTCTGCTGTTAACTTGAGTGATTTGTGCAGGCATAATCCCCATTGTGATGATATTGGTGTGTAGCATCGTCTTATCTATTGGTTTCATCCTTGTAAAGCTCGATGGGTGTTCCTTTTTTTCATATATATTAGCTGGCCCCTTCGTACAGTTACAGAAGATACACCCAAAGAAAACCCCTGGCAATCCTTCGTTAGAATGTTGAAGACTACTACATCGTGGCAGGTTGGCAAGAAAAAGTCAACTCTTTGTTTGGGAAGTTGAGCTCTGAGAATACCCGGCTTCTCCAAGCGTAGCAAATGTATGAGTTCCAGCAGCTGCCGATTTGCCAAAATGCAGCTGGCGCTAATCATCAGATCTAACACTAGGAACGTGCAATTTTCTGAAGCAGAGGAGTTGGACCCTTCGGGAGCAGGCACAGAGGTAAATTTTACAGTCAGTGAGCATGAGTCAGGCTCACTCTTGCACATCACATCGAGATATCGGTATTGCGATCTTTCAGGTGGTGAGGTGTTGACGTTCATATGTTCGGTAACCCCTCACCAAATTGAGAGGACTTCCACGCAGCCTCCTTAATGATCAATTCCATTTCAACGAGTAGTTGTTGTTTAACTTTGGCAAATTACATCGTCCGGTGGCACCTTTCTGTCTTCGTATTTACAAGGAACTCTCACTGCATGCGCGAAATGGATCTACTTTATCTTTGAGTAAGATCAGCTCACACTGAAAAATACCTGGTCAGTTTTTTCTAAAGAGAATTTCACAGCAAGGTCTCCAGGCATGGACTAAAGATACATCACGTGTCCATCTACGTGAAGTGGACTCACAGAAGCTCACAACGAGGACTTGATTCCGAGGCCATGGTCAGGTGGCCCGACGGGGTTCAAGCCGGACTTGACGTCCCCTACAATCTTCAAAGTGCAAGTCATAGCCCCGTTCAGGGGAGGAACTGTAGGCAGAGTAACATGTAATCCTGCGCCGTCACAGGTCCACTTCAATGTCAGGTTTTCGTGTCCGAGCAGAGTCACGCTCTCCACCTTTCCGCCGAAGAGGCGGAGGTTACTCCCGACGGAGCAGACAGTGAGTTTGAGGTCGTCGGGCCAGGCCATAGCCGTCGCGTACAGGGCGCCTTCTGCGCCGACGGTGAACCGGATATCCTGGCAGGTGAAGGGGTCGTGCCGCTCATCGGAGCCTCCGGACGTATCCGTGGGGCCTTCGCCGAAAACCTTCCACGGCCGCGTCCCGTAGATGGCACTGCCGTATTTCTTCAACCACGCTCCCACCTGCCGCAGCAACTCCTGCTCCTCCTGCGGGATGGTTCCGTCCGGCTTGGGCCCGATGTTCAGCAGCAGCGCGCCGTTCTTGCTCACGACGTCCAGCAGGTCGCAGATCACGTCCTTGCATTGTTTGTAGTCCTGCTTCTCGACGTAGCCCCACGAGTTCCGCGACACCGAAGTGTCGGTCTGCCAAAACAGAGGCCGGATTCGATCGAGGTGAGATCGCTCCATGTCGAGCACAGCGCAGCCCTCGGGATATGCTTCGAATTTGTAATTGATGACCACGCCTTTCTTCCACTCCGCAGCTCGATTGTAGTAATATGCTGCGAATCGTTGCAGGTATGGCTTGAATGCGGGCTGCTCGATCCACCAGTCGAAGTAGAACACTTGCGGTTTGTACTTGTCCACGAGGTCGCAGCACCTCGTGAGCCAATCCTCCAAGAATGTGGCGTCCGGTTGCAGAGTGTCGGGCATCGCTGGCCCGTAGAGGTCTCGGTACCTCGGGTCTTGGACGTCGGAAGGGAAGCTTTTGCCTCCGTTGAAGAACCACCAGTGCTCGGCTCGGTGGCACGAGACGCCGAACACCAATCCGCGATCTCTCACAGCGGAGGCCAGGTCGCCGATCACGTCTCGTCGCGGGCCCATCTTGGTTGCGGACCATCTGGACACCGACGAATCGTACATGGCGAAGCCGTCGTGGTGCTCGCCCACGGGAACGACGAAGCGAGCGCCTGCGTCTCGGAATAGATCGGCCCATGCAAGCGGATCGAAATTGGAAGCTGTCAGCTGCGGGATGAAGTCTTTGTAGCCGAATTTGGTGTGAGGGCCATACGTCTCGATGTGGTGTTTGTACTCCGCAGAGTTTTTTATGTACATGTTGCGCGGGTACCATTCGTTGCCGAACGCGGGTACCGAGTAAACCCCCCAATGGATGAAGATGCCGAACTTGTCCCTCTGGTACCACTCTGGGATCTTGTAATGTGCCAGCGACTCCCATGTGGGTTCAAACGGCGGATCTTCTCCATTCTCCATCCCTCACTCGAATTTATCTGAACCTGTCCTGTCTGCATCATCACCAGAGAAAAGGTGATTTGTTGATTATCCATGCCTACCTGAATCCTAGAGTAATCCCTGAGAGAACAATCTGAAGCTTCGAAGTGAAGGTTCAACAAGCAAACAGCGAGAGTGTGCTCGATACATTTGCGAAGCTAGGTCGATGACAGACGCCATTTGTCTCTCAAGATTTGAAAGAAATCAATGACAAGACTAATTATAAGAAAGAAGAGGTAAATGCATTCAATACCTTCGAAAATTCTCCTAACCATGAGCAGGACTGGATCTACATATGAAAAAAACTGAACATAAACCCCAAAGAAAAGAATTGGCCTGCAATTGTGATTACTTCACTAAAATTGGGAACACTTTTGGGCTTGAAAATATTAAGACAAGTTCTGACTGATAGGATCTGGTGCGAATGAATCAGTACCTACATCCAACCGGTGATCTCAGTGAAACCTACTAGAATTGCAATGATGACAAGCTCATCCAGGATACAAGTTTTGTTGCTTACCTGAATGTTTCCGACTCTTTGCTATCAAAACACGGGTTTTTGGAGCAGACGACGCTCGGAGGTCAAGAACAAACAAGAAACAGAATGGCATGTATCGACTGCCCCTATTGCTGAATATACCACTCTCAAAAGCTCGGGCAAAGATTAGCCAGTGAATTCTTGATTTCAATTCCAGAATCCAGACATGTCAAATTCTCTGGCAGGAGGGAGAAAACGCGACTCCGGGCAAGAGGTAGCAGCCCAAGGCCGGCAATAGAAAATGATCAAGATCGTATGACTTTGACGACGGCGTTGTGTGTTTGTTTGGAAGGGGATTATGCGATACGAGAGGGTCAAGTTCTGCTGCAGACTCGAGCGTCAAGCAATCTGTAGTCCCTCTAGGACCCTTGCTGAGATTAGAGCTGTACTGTGTAAGAAATACCTTCTTGTACCTGCATTACATTAAAACATCCCTCGCTCCTGCTGGGCGATATTCAATTGCCCAATTGTCCCGGCCCATGGGTCCACTTGATTTTATCGTGACGTCCGCACAAGCAATGCTTGTGCTGCATTGAGACTCATGGATCAGGTCTGATGGTCACCATTGCGTAACTCATGACGGTCACCCTCCAAGTCATTGAGTCCGTACTACAATACTGTGCATTTCTACATAACCCTCCATTGACTTACCCACGCAAGAGATACATGCCATCAATATCTCGAGGAGGAATGGAATATGCTCCAGATGGCACCAACCATGCGAAGAAACATGGAACCAAGTAGGAGGTAATAAGAGCATGAAGCACACTAGGTGTCAATCAAATTCGTGGTAGAGAATCGTACTAAATGATTTACAGTAATCTTCATTTTGATATCTGACATGCAAGTCATGGCAGAGTCATATCAGCAAGTGAATCCATAGTTATTGAAAATTCTCAAGAACACCGGTAACTATACAATAAAGGCAATCACTATACTTGTCAACTGTTAGGTCATGATGCAAACTTGATTCTCTCAATGTTCCCAACTTCAGGTTGAGAAAAATTTGTTCATTTTCCATGTCCTATTTATGTATTTCAGCGGTTTCCCTACCCGATGGCGGCTGGGATTGCATTGTCGAGCTAAAGACTGGTCTGGTAGGGAGTTAGCGCGCGGCAGTCCGTCGCGCAGAAGGCAAAGTAGATGAGCTGCAGTGTGCTGCAGCGTAGCGTAGTGTAGTGCAGATGTAGAGTGTTAGTTAGGACTTTGAGGGTATAAAGTAGTTCAAGGCGTCTTGCCTTGGGATTCTTCCAGTTTTGGAAGTGCAGATCAGGAATTCATTTTCTCTGCCTGTTTGTGTCCTTAGTTCTGTCCCAGCGCGCGAAGAACTACAGCTTGACGAAGATACCGCATTTTGTAGCTGAAAGCCTTCGGCCGAATGTTCAGAGCCAGTGTACTGGTTAGATACTTGAGCAGTTTGGATCTACACCTGCGGGTGATTGCTGAATGCTCAGAGCTAGTAACTGGTTAGATACTTGAACAGTTCGTCCCTACACCTTCGGTTGATTGTTCATAATTGTACTCCTTCGGGATGTTTCCCCTGAATGCCAAAGTGAAGTTTTGTTACTTCGAGTAAACCTTGGTTGTAATTCAGGTTACGCTGCAGAAGGCGCCCTCGGGGCAAACCTCTGTGGTATTTCTGGGAATGACTAGTGCTTGAGAATTCAAACTCGTCAATAGACTGTTATGGTGTGCTACTGGAACTTTTCTCAGTTGAGTTGCTCAGGTCGGACCTGTATTCTCTGCGCGTTTTGTGAGTTGAGTGTGTTGTTCACCGCGTGTGAGTGACTTCGGTTTGACGAAGATACCGCATCCGAAGTATGAAGTCCAACCCGGGTGCCCTGCGCTAACAGAAACTAGTGGAAGGGTTGTAAAAGCCGGAGTTGGGAGTCACTACCTGCAAAGCCTCTGAATGTACTCGTGATGAACTTTCCCCCTGAAATCTTAAGTAGAGGTCCTAACCGACCTCTTAGTTGTGTTTCTATAGATTCAGGTGTGTGTTGAGTGAACTACGCTGCATTGTGCGTCCTCCGAGTTGAGCACTTGCAGTATTTCTGCGAGTGACAGTCGTCTGAGAATTCAAACTCTTCAATAGTCTGTTAAACGTGACACTTTGTACTCTGTGTGTTGCCTCTATCCTTGTGGGTTCGACCTTTTTGCTGCTATACTGCAGTTTAGCCTTTGGTGAGTTATTACACACTATATGCTTTATACTGCAACTTGGCTTTTTGGTCTTCTGCAATATGCACATTCAAAGTGCAATCAAAAGCACAGAGGCTAGATAGGTCAAGAATGGATTGTGCAATTTATTGGAAGGTGTTGTTACGTTAAGTAAGCGAGAGACTCAATGATTCAATAACTAGTCAACATCTAAAATTGGTTTCATTCACAAATAGTTTAAAAACTTGGAAGTGTTAAATATGCAACGCGCAGCCTAAAACAACGCACGATTTTTGCGTTCAAAACTACCACTTTGATGAGGAATTGCTATTGTGATGAGATGCTGAAAGATATCATTCTTTCCATAGTAGATTTTGAATTCATTGGAGATATATTCACCTCCTGAATTATTTTTAACCCATTGGAGAGTATTCATCTCATCCATTAGTTTGAAAGGTAGTGACTTTAGGATTCCAATGATGCTTGGTGTGCCAACCGAAGATCACTTGTGTTGATACAAATTGTTAAAATTGATGAAAAGTCTCACTTTTAAGAGGCAAGAATAAGATCCATGTAAAACGGATATAATCATTACTGAATGTTAGTAAGTATCAAAACTCCGTCGAGTCTTTAACTAGTCTGTCTAGATTGTTGGGGACTAACTTTAGTCGAGTCTTTAACTAGTCTGTCTAGATTGTTGTGGACTAACTTTAGTAGAAGATTCGTCTTCTTCATCGCCAATTTGGAAATATTGATGCTCTAACTAGTCTGTCCAGATTGTTGTGGACTAACTTTAGTGGAAGATTCTTCTTCTTAATCGCCAATTTGGGCTTTTTGATGCAATGTTGCTTTTCCTAAACAGAGTCCTCGCAATACTTGTCTCCGACAATTGGGAAGCCCATGCAAAAAAGTCCATGCACAAACTGTTTCAAAGCCACATGATGTGATGTTTGATGGTGTGGATGACATGTTCATTTTGGCAAAGAGCCAAGTCTTGAAAGGACTTTCTTGATATGTGAAATAATTTCATTGAAACGTTATTTATAGATTATGTATTTTCAAATTGTGATATTCACTTGATATTGATTTATTTTTGCACATATTTTTATTTTTGAAAATGATTCAATATGTAAAAAATTAGAATATGAAAATGAGGAAGGAAACCATTTATCAAACATTTTTTCCCTATTTTACGATAATACACCAATGAACTTTAGTGAATTTTTATGTCAATAGAAAATTTATTACTGCTGTTTCCAAAGTAATGTTCACTCCTTTGGGAAGAGCAAAACTTATTGAGTGTTAATCTGATGATTATTCTTTAGTTCCTCACGTTTTTTACTTTGAAAGATTCTTAAGGTTCCAGTGGCAATTTCATACGTGCTTCTAGGATTACAATATAATGTCTGAATTTATATGAACTGAATTGAGTATAAACTATCAAGGTAAATATTGATGGTTATTGGGCATGAAATTTCAATGGAACGAATTTCTCTTCTCGTGTCAATCAAAGCTCTTTGATTGACACAAATTTTCAGTCCACAGTGGATAAAAAAGGAGAAATGGTCAAATGAACATTCATTTGAGGGTTCGATCTTCATTCTTCAGAGCATTCAATATGCAGAGAAAACACTCGGATAATTTACAGTCAGAACCCTTTGTCTACAGGAAAATACTAAAAAATATACCTGGACCAGGAGAGAAAGACAAAATAAACAAAACTCAAAGCTGTTTATATGCTTGATTTTTGAACTAACTAGTGAACAAGATATTTCAGGAGTAGTTTTGCATAAACCGTTTTATAACAATAAAATTAGAACCCACTGAAATACTTATTGCCATGCCTGCCTGTGTCTCCCTCCATCTGTGACCACAGGCAACTGGTGAGGGCTAGTCCCTATATCCTTCGCTATGCTTATTTCTAGCTTGTTTCTATCTGGACTGGTGAAAGGTGTAAAGATAGCAGACTGGATTGCATTGAACTATTGTCTAGATTTCAATCTGGACGATAATGACTCAGAGGCATTCACCTATATATGTACGTACATGTAGCAGGCACTCTATATTTCAATCCCATCCCTACTACCCTTACTTCAGGATGCTGTACATGCTTGGCAAGATGTACGTCATCTAGATTTTGGTTCTTTCTGGATACTATCATATTTCCTCAGGTAGAAAGCTCTCTTGCGCCGCCAGGAGATTCACGGATTACATGTTAGCTTGGTGGTGCTTCCAGGCGCAGATAGTCGTACATAACCCCATTGTATGGACCTGAAGCTTTCCTTTGCGTCAAGTAGATACTATTGCTTCCCTTCTTCAGATCTGCCGCTGGAATGTCGATATTATAGAGCACATATATCCCTTGAATACCATGCCGTGCAATAGCGTTGTCTTTGCCAAATGCCGGCGTTTCGTACACAGGCTTCGATGAAACATCGTTCACACGGACCTGCGGACGACATGGATAGCAGAACTTTACTACAATACTATTTGATATTTATGGAGCGAATTTCAAAGGATGGAGCATCGTTTTACAATAATGTCTGCCTGAATTGTCCTCTTCAGTCATGTCCAAGCTCTAGTTTTATGATTCTGATCGACTGGGAAAGCGTCTTGACAGTAAACAATGACCGCGAATTATATAGAGAGAACCGTCTCATTAGTTTGCAAACCTGGATAGCTGAAACCTGTGCCTGGGCGATGGCCATGCGAAGCTTATAAGCGCCCTTGCTTTCGTCAAAGCTTGAGAGCTCGAACTTGATCTGCCATCTTGTTGCTGTGTAAGTCCCATCAGAGTGTCGCCTGCATAGGGTGGCATTGAAGCGACTGATTTGTCAGTTGCCGACTTGAGCAAGGAGAGAAAAGAATGTGACAGGCAGGCTACAGACAGGCACTCTCAAAAACGATCAGTCAGGAGCACTCTCATTAAACTCTTAACCTCACTTTGCAGCAGCAGTGCTTGAGTTGATCTACTCACCTTGTGTTGTGTGCAAAGTACCAATCCTTTTTGTAGTCACTCGTCCCCACCGTGTAGACTAGATCCTGTGATGGATAAATCTCCGAGTACCTTGCCCATAGACCATAGTTGCGCCATCTGGAAAATATCCACTCCATTTACAGCACATTAAATTTATCATGCGATCGTTCCATGTAGAACTAACGCATCAAACCGCTCGAGCGAAATATTGCAATCAGTCAATATGGAGAAAAGGAACTGTGCCATATATAGACTGTTCTTTAGCGTCCCAATCGTCAAAATGAAATTCAAAGGAATGACAGTAGATCTTTGTCTGTCGCTAACTCCAACGAGCAGTACTCAATGTTTTGAACCAGTGTATGAGAAGTTGTTACGGACTGAAATGGACGATGGTGTTGCATTGCTGAAAGTAGGAAGAACTAAAATTTTAAATGGCTGCCTGAGAGTCTAGGAAACTGCTAAGGAAATC